AAAAAAAAAAACTTGAGAAAAATGTACCTGAATCAGTGCCCCCAATGAACAATTACAAGGCCTTACTAAACCAACCCTTTGTAGGAAATCAGACCCAATAATGACCATGTAAGGGCTACAGGAAAGTGGATACATAGGTGTTTTTAAGAAATGAATATGATCCTAGAGGAATGGGCCAGTGGCACCACCACTTGCTGCTCTTCCAGAGGACTGAGGTTCAGTTAACAGCAAGTACATCTGGTGAGTCACAACCACCTCTAACTCCAGGTCCAGGGAGTTGGATACCTTCTGGTCTCATGGGAACCTGCATGCATGTGGTGCACATAAACTCACACAGGCACACACATACATATAAATTAAAAATGAATAAATAAATATTTTAAAATAAAACAATATAGTTGCTGTGGAATAATCCTTTTGTACACTGTAAAGATTTGTCACTAGAATGGGTTTCATAAAAAGCTAACTGGCCAGTAGCCATGCAAGAAGTAATAGGTGAGATAAAACTAAGGATGTTGGGATGAAGAAGGACAGACTCAGAGGAGATGCCAGCAAATGCAGAAGAAGCAGGATGTGTAGAAAATGAGGTAACTAGCCATGAGCCATGTGGCAGAGAGTAGATAAGAAATATGGGTTAACTTAAATGTAAGAGGAAGCTAGTAACAAGCCTGAACTAACCAGCAAGCGTTTACAATTAATATTAAATTTCTGAGTGGTTATTTGGGAGTGGCTGCTGGCACAGGAAAATTCCGCCTACAAAGGGCATTCCAATGTGGGGTCAGAATTTCCATGTGCAACCTGACAAGGCTTGAGGGAAAGTTCCACAAAATGCATAGGGACGGAGCCAAACACAGCTTCCTAGTTTTGTGTCTCTGATGCCCGCCACAGTACAGAGACGGAGCCAAACACAGCTTTCTAGTTTTGTGCCTCTGATGCCCGCCACAGTACAGAGACGCCGGCAGCTGCCAGCACACCATGGGCTAAGCTGTGTGGTGGGTTCCGGCAGTCTCTCACATGGGCTGAAGTACAGAGAGGCATCTCCCAGCCACTGCCTGTGGGCTTGAGCTGCCAGCATGGGCTCCATCAGCACACTGCATGGGGGGTTTGGGGTTTTGCTCATGCAGATAGAAAAGGTTACAAATATACAGTAAAGACAGATTCGGATGGAAAAAAAAACTCTAAATGGGTTACAGTGTATTTAAAAATATATAGAGGCTTGGGAGATCAAAGAGAAAGAGGACATACAGTCTTAGATTTTAAAATATAGTTTTAAAATAATAGTAAAGTCCTTAAAAAGGGAATAAAGTGGGCTGGAGAGGTGGCTCAGCGGTTAAGAGCACTGACTGCTCTTCCAGAGGTCCTGAGTTCAATTCCCAGCACCCACATGGTGGCTCACAACCATCTATAATGAGGTCTGGTGCCCTCTTCTGGCCTATAAGCATATGTGCAGATAGAACACTGTATACATAATAAACAAATCTTTAAAAAAAAAAAAGTCAGTGGCATTCTAAGACAGTCAACAGCCTTGGTTAGCTGGGGAAAGAAAACTTACCTCCTTTGTCTCCATTTCTATGACATGGTAATCACATAGGAGGTTTTTTATTTTTGTTTTTGTTTTAGGGCAAGGAGGACAATGACTGAGTCTACACAGTTAAGCAGCTTATCCAAGGGACCATGAAGAACAGTTCATTCAGCCTGTCAACACACAAGTGTCTTGAATGATTTCTCCATTGTGTGAAATTATTTGGCAAAGATGGAGCGGTGATGGACCTTTAGCTATGATAACCTTTCAAAACATGAAAATATCCACTGCCACATTTGTTATAGAGGAAGGTTCTAAACTTTGGGGTGGGCAGGCAGAACTGCATCCCCTGATGAATGAAGTGGAAATGCTATTTGAACTTTCAGATCCAGAGAACACTGCCTGGAGTCTAGGGTTGCTTTGACAATTACTGAAGACAATGTAGCCGAGGTCTGTGATCCAGAACCTGGCACATGATTGATTGTAAACAAATGACAGTTTCCTTTTTCCAAAAAGTAAATGAAATTTTTGGCTGGTGCTTATTTCCGCTTAAGAACAATTTTTTGCTGAGCTGAGTTTTTAAAGTGACTTTCTGAACAATGTGATGGACATTATACTGAAAATAAAGCACGTATCATGAAAGCATTTGAGAATTAACCACAACTACAACACATGACTTTGCAATTCTCGTACAGCAAGCTTAGACATGGACAGCCAAAAGGCTTAGCTCTTCCCGCCCCCGTAGACACATCTTAGTGGACACCAAGCTCACTGAAGGGAGGAAGTTTTGCTGGGAGGATGCGGTGAGCAAAGCCACAATATTCAAATTCCGAAAAACTTTACTTCGTTATCAAAGCATCAATGTAATTTTAGTAACACTGGACATCTATGTCTGTCATCGCGTTGATTTCTCGACATGGATAAATAAACCTGTCATGACTGAGAGAGATTTTATTATTCTCACTTATTGTTAAAGACAGAAGAGCAAGAGACATTGACCTAGTTTTTTAAGATAAATAGTAGTAGCTATCAGGTCTGTTGGACTTTAGCGCCCGAATACCCAAACATCACACCATTCTGTCTTTCCCCAGATGATCCAGGCCTGGTTCCTCACAAGCATCATATATAGAAGCCGTAGAGAAAAATTCACCAGTGTTTAAAGACTTTTTGACTAGCTGATGTGCCAGATTTTTTTTTTCCCCGATGAGAATCAAGTTATGGACCAGCATGTCGGGCTCTTAAGAATTTCAATTCCTTTATACCAAGAGTTCTGGTATTACAGCTTAACTCGTGCTGCTTAGGTAAAGCCTCCCTTTCTGATGCTTCGCTGAGCTACCTACAGTGTAGGGTACTCTTGGGACCAGAGGAATTACTAGGTTAGTACCGATTGGTTTAGACAGGTCACATGACTTAGGAAATGCCAGGAGTAAAGGTGCTGTCAATCTATAAAAAGGGGAGGGGAATGAAAGACAGGAATTCGGCATGAGCATGTTAACTTCATTCGTTTGTGGCTAGGTACAAATAGAATGTCCGGCCAAAGCAACATAAGAGAAGAGGGTTTATTCTGGCTCATGGTTTAGGGAATTTGAGCCATTGTGGTTGGAAAGGCGAGGCAGTGGACCCAGCTCCTATCTGTTGTAGTGGGAGTGTGAGCCTGCCTGCTCATCTCATGGGGTCAGAAAGCAGAGACAGGTGGAGCTGGTCTGTCACGCTCAAGCCCTGCTCTGTCTCTGCTTCCGCCAGCTAGGCTCCATGTCCAAAACGATCCTACAACGTCTCCAAACAGCTCCGCCAGCCAGAGACTAAGTGTTCAAGTGCACGAGCCTGGAGGAGAGAGTTTGCACTCAAACCACAACTGGAAATTATCCTTTTTGCCCATTTCCCTACACTCAGGTTGGACTAAAACTAAACAATATTCATAAAAGGAGACTGGAGAGATGCCTCAGCCGTTAAGATGGCTCAACTTCCGGTCTTTCAAGAGCACCTCTGTTTTCTTCCAAGGAACCTAGTTGGGTGGCTCACAAGCTCTTATAACTCCAGCTCTAGGGGATCCAACATCCTCTTCTGGCCTCTGAGGGCACTCCTCTCCCTCAACACACATGTGTGTCATACACACACGGACACACCACATAAATAAAAACAAATCAGAAAACATGCATAAAACTCTACAGAAATGTTTTAAAAATAGCTTTCAATCTAATTACTGAAAGAACTTTGATTTAAAATACAGAAACAAAATTTGATACCAAAGGCTAGCCTCCCCTCCCCCGCTTCTTTCTGGAGTCATCAGTCTTCTAAGAGAACATTTTTGGGCAAATGTAACTATGTTAATGATTTATACAGTTTCCAAAGAATGTTTCGTTTAACTTCCTAATGGAAAATAATGTTCTGTTCAGACATTTTAAAATGTATTTTAAAAGACTTGTACTTGAGACTCAAGGTCATGATCTAAACATTCTGAATAAGTGTTTTTATGTGTACTTGTCTGTAGTTTAATTGTCGATTGGCCTTGGTATTAAATCATGGGAAAAAAATGTCAATGATCCGTTCTAGAAGGGGATTTTTGTGGATCAAATGGATTTTTAAAAATTGCTTGTTTTTCTAGAGCAGTAAAAATATTTACTTTCAAATGTCTAATCATCGGGATATTTCAGAAGCCCATAAAAATGTATGAATGATGAAAACAGCCAGCGTGTTTTCCTTCCCTTTATTTATGTCTCTGAGCCTTGGAATCTGATAACAATTCTACAATGAAGGCCTTTCTTCTGATGGAGAGAGGCGCTGGCGCTGGGTGTGGAAAGCGTATGCCGGGAATGTAGTGAGTTCATGACTTGAACAGTGAGAGCATTGCCCTCTGCTTGGAGGAAAGGAGGCCAGACACAGACGAGTGAGGCCACCAAAGATCTCCGCACAGATAAAAGTATCACAGCAGGTTGTTTCTCGGGATACTTCAAAGCTCAGAACCCTGTCCTCTGTACGTGAAAGAAGAGCTCAGTTTGAACTCGCTAACTCTTCCGTCTGATGGGACCATGTCACCCATCACACTCGCGCACAGTTATCACGAAAGAGCAAACTCTGGCTTTCTAGGAGGGTGCTTGCATTCTCTGAGATGTAAAAATATAACAATTAAAAAGACAATCATAGTTTTAATTTTGTTTTTTTTAATGTGTGTGTGTTTCAGAGAATCAAATTAATAGTGATCTCTATTGATGTAAAATGGTAAGCATTGTGTAAATGCTTTCTTATTATTATCTCTTCTCATACAATAAAAATCTATGAAGTGGATACTTTCAATGTCCTCATTTTACACGGGTATGAGCAGAAAAATTTGAAAGATTGTTCATCTTAAGAGTGGGCAGCCAATAAGGGACAGGCCCGGGATTGGCACCACGGGACCTAATGTCAAAGCCCATGACCATAGCTGCTTAAGCTTGCCATCTTCGATCACGATGCCTCTTGGCGTTCTTTCATTTATACAGAGCATACATATTTATCTATATATCTGTGATGATATTTTGGGTATGTGCTAACAAATAAAGCTTGCCTGAAAATCAGAGGGCAAAGCCAGCCACTAGTTAGCCATAGAGGCCAGGCAGTGGTGGCACACACCTTTAGTTCTAGCACTTGGGATCTCATGCCTTTGCTCCCAGTACTTGGGAGACACGTACACCTTTAATTCCAGCACTAGGGAAGTTGAGACAGGAAGTGATATGGCTGATCAGAGAAAAGGAATATAAGGCGGGAGGAGACAGGAGCTCAGTCTCTTTTCCACTTAGGAGTTGGTGAGGTGGTTTGTTCCTCTGATCTTTCAGCATTTACCCCAATATCTGGCTCTGGGTTTTTATTATAAGACCAATTAGGATTCGTGCAACATATATCTGTATTTATATCTACCTCTGCCTTTCAGCTGTGCCTGCTCATGTGTTTTCATTGGTCCATATTTACTGGGTACATTTTAAAGGCCCAGAGCTTCTCTGTACTTGAGTAGGAAAGAGTGGCCTCTGAAAATGTATAGCTCCTTCCCTGATGTACGCATTCTTCCGTGATGCAAATGTCTGCACATCCACAATCAGCACAGAGAATCCAGGGGGACGAAGAGAAAGTGACGCCGAAGCAGGTGGCTTCAGGTGTGTGATGACGAGCTCGGGCCTGAGGAAGATACAAGGAGGCGCCCCGAGAAAGCCAGAGTCGCCGGCAGAACTGGGGTGTGTGAAGTAAAACCCGGAAAGAGCAGAATGGAGCTGGGTAGCTTTATTCCCGACAGGCTAGTGGAGAGTAAAAGCAGCAAAAGTGAATTCTGACTGATTTACTCATTCATTTGTTCAAATAGGTAATTGATAAAAAAAAAAAAAAAAAGTAATTGAATATGAAATGTGTACAAATGATGTCTTTTGCTTAGAAACAATACATTAAGAATTTTCCTCTGATGATCCACAGATTCCTTTCTGCCAACTGAAAAGTCTTTCTTCTGTTTTGGTTAAGGGTTCTCTACTCCACCTCAGATATGAGCTTCATGACCCCTGGCACACTACCCCTGCAGATGACTGTTGGTCTCTACAATTCCGAATTTTTACACTTTATAGGTACTCTCTGTATATGTATATGTGTATTTATTATAACATTTCATCTATCTATCTATCTATCTATCTATCTATCTATCTATCTATCTATCTATCTATCTATCATCCATCCACCTATCTATTTTTGTGGTACTGGGTCTTGAACCTAGAGCCTAGAGTATGCTGGTCAAGTACTCTACTGTGAGGAACATACCCAGTCCTCTCTTTACTTTTATTTTGAAACAGGATCTTACTAAGTTGCCCACACTGGCCTTGAACTCATAATGTTCATAAAGGTAGCTCAGATTACAGGCCTATATATTGAATGCTGTGTCTCCTTTTAGAAAATCTAAAGGCATCATCACAAAAAGTTAGAGTGAGAAAGCCAAGTGAAAAACAAGGATCACCAGCAAAAAAAAAAAAAAAAAAAAAAAAAAAAAAAAAAAAAAAAAAAAAAAAAAGCTCCCTAGAGTCCCAGGTGTGACAAAGTGAAGAGAGCTTTGGATAAATTCAGTTTAGAGTTAGATTTACATTTATTTAAATTTTATTTTATTTATGTGTGTACATCTGTGTGCATATGTCTGTGTGAGGCTTTGTTCACAAATATGTATGGGTGCCACAGAGGCCAGAAGATGGTGTCAGATCCCTTGGAGAGGCTTTGGTAACCTGCTTGACATGGGTACCGGAAGCTCCGGTCTTTACAATCAATCAGCAAGTGCTTAGCGGTCCCTCTAGCCTCGCTGCTGGCTTGTAAAATGATCATTTAAAAACTCTTTTCCTGAGGAACGAAATGCTTAGGAATCTGGCTTAGTTTAACTTGTGGTTGTGACACTCAATGAGAATACAAGTTTTTAATTATTTATCATGGAAAATCAGAATTATATCTTCTAACCAAAGTCAGTAAGACCAAACTAAAACAAGATATTTTATTTGCCAAGTCTTAGTGGGTAAGGAGAACCAATAGATTTTTTTTTTTTGTTCTGCTATGTTACTTTCTGTCCGGGGGTTCAGGGGTGAGATATACAAAGATCATATGCTATTTTTAGTGAACAAACCAGTATGAGGGTACATATTATGTTTGGGGTGACGAAAACAGTTTTCTGGTCATCGCTTAGTTTTACATAGGTTGAAAAGCATGCCCCATGCTCTTCCTAATTCTGCACTCTTCTGTTCCATCCTCCCCTCAGTACCCCAAGTAGAGCCCGAAACAGAAGAGATGTCTGATAAAAATGTGTTGGGAACGGGTGGATGCATCTGTAGCTCTGACTCTTGGAACCACTCTATTTTAGGGTAAGTCACTCTACCGCCGTTCAATCTGGGATGACTTCTTCTTGTTCCCCATATCCAATGGAAAGTTAAGTCTTTCCCAGCCTGGCCCTAGGTGAATCATGCAGGGCTTTAGAATTACTTTGAAAAAATGTGTAATTCCATATTATTTGTTTGATTTCAAATCAAGCAATATATGACCTATTGCATACAGTAGACAATAGCAAAAGCCAAAGGAAGTAAACCCTAATCCCCCTGGGAAAACACCCAGTGCTGTGACAAGAGGAAGTCAAGGTCTAGAGTCAAAGGAAGAGGGACTTGTCCAGGGTCTCATATGCCCTTTGTCCTCAGATCTGAACTGTGATTTTGGATAGCCCTTGATTCCTGGCTTGACCATCTGTTTCCTGGACACACCCTGCACTTGCATTGAAAGCTGGCTGCACCATAAAGCCTAACTTTCACTACTGCTATAAATGACCAGTTTTTACCAAATGCTGAAGGGGTCTACCTAATTCCAGCATAGCAGAACTACATAGTACACTTTGAAACACAGGGAGATTCGGTACAAATATAAGGCCGTAGTTAAACACAAGCAGAAATACAGACAGAAATGTTAACTAAACAATATTTGGATGAATTTGTATACATTTGTTCTAGGTTGTTAAGGAACCTAATTAAGCTTTGGTGCGTGGGGTTTTTACAGCTGACATTAACAGAAGATTAAATCCTTGTTCACACAACATTACCACCACCCTGGAAAGAAGGACTCAAGCAGCTGTGTGGTCAATGCTTAAGTAGTGTCCCGGCAGTAAGGAAATTAGGTGTATTCACTCTAAATCACAGTATGGCTCAAACCGCTGTGAGCAACTCCTCTCATTCCCATTGGTTCCCTAACCGCCCATTGAGGTGGTTAGCAAAGAAACGGAAGAGCTGCACGTAAAGCCACGCTTACTCCACTCTTTCCCGAGTGCTTCCAGCCCCAGCTTTCCTCAGGCTGCTCCGCTGCTCCCCTATTCTCCGTCCTCTTGTTTCCTACAATCCTTTGAGATACAGAAGTGTCTGTCTGCTGATCACCATCTTTTCTCCCATCTCTGCTCAGACACTGCAACCTGATTGGTTCTCAACAGACATTTGCTGGGTAAAGAGAGAGCCCAATAGAAACCAAGGCCAGCTAGCACTGCATTAGACAGAGTGAGAGGTGTGCTCCCCCTGTCTGGATGGTGCTCACACACCTCTAATGTCCACTCAATTTCTGGTCTAATCCATCCCTGGGCTTCCTCCATCTCTCTGCTAATTAGCTTCCTGTGATAGTTTCCATTATGCTCTTATGACCTCTTACTCTTTAATATTGGCTTTTGGGGGGATATGACTTCACCCTTTATATTGCCACAACAGTGGGTTTGCCCCCAATGGACCTTTCTTATAAGAGTTTCTCTTCCTTTCTAAATAAAATTCCAAATTCCTATCTTCAAACATCTGGAGAAAATCCCCATGTTGATGTGGTTTCTACCTGAAATTTGACACTAGTCCCATGACCACCAAGAATGGAGTCTTCTCACCTTTCCCCACTGGGGACAAGGCAGAGACTTTTCTTGGCGATGCCTGATAAAAATGTGTTGGGAACGGATGAATGCGTCCGTAGCCCTGACTCTTGGAACCACTCTATTTCAGGCTAAGTCACTATACTGCCATTCAAACTCTAGGACTTAGAGTCTTCGGATTTTCTCTGAGTTTTCCCCTCTCCTGACAAGTTTGTTAATTATCACACGGGATCTCTTCCTTCCCCAGTCACTGCTCTGATACTGGCTCTCATGACCCAATGCTTGATACCAACTCTCCTGGTGTCGGCGTCTCTGTATCTCAGTCCTCTGTATCCGACTTTTATCACCACACTCTCCTCCCACACAGCTCCCTTGTTAAGGTCCCAAGATGCCTCAGACCTTTCTCTCAAGCCCTCCAGAGCCTCCCTGCAGCAGATCCTTTCCCCCGTGAACTTCATGTGTCTCATTTTCTCACCTAATCAGCCTCCTCTGCCCACCTCTTTTTTTTCTATTGATAAACTGCATTTCTCATGGTAATTTTAGGTTCACAGAAGAGTTATGTGGAAATGACAGAGTTCCCATATTCCCTTTATCCCCTCCCCATGCACAGCCTCGACCATTATCTACATCCCACACACAGTGTTATACTTGTCACAGTGGATGACAATGGCTATATATAAATTCATATGTCATTTCACCCTGACCCCACAATTTGCATTAAGTTCAAGCACAACAGCATGCACCTGCCACCACAGCATCTCACAGATGGTTTTGCTGGTCTGAAATGGCATGTTCCATCTACGCATTCCTCCCTCTCTCCTTTCCAGCTCCTGGCAACCACGGGTCCTTTGGCTATTTCCTTAGTTTTGTGTGTTTTAAAATTTTACATATTAACTATTAGTTTTTAATTTGGATAGATACATCTTGCATGGTGGACACTTCCCCCATCTCCCCTTCCTCTTTTTCTCATACTCCCTCTCCTGATTTGGATAGCTTCCATTTTTCTCATTGCCATCTTTGCTTCTTCCACAGGGTACCACTCCCTGCCAAAGTATTCTGTGACTAGTTTCGTCTCAGGATGACAATGGTCTTTCCTTCTCTTAGCATTGATATTTAGTTCCAGTTATGCAGCTGCTGGTTATTACTTAACTAGTGGTGATGGTTAAGAATATCATTAATAACAATAGTGGCAGCTGACTAGCTGGGCATACTACATGTCAGCTATGGGGTGAGGCCATTCATAAAGCTCAACAATCTTCACAACAACCACAGAAGCTGTGTGGCTATTATGCTGATTTTATGTAAGACAGCTGTGACTTGGAGGTCACTTGCTCAGAGCAATGTGGCTAAGTGGCAGAGCCACGATGTGCCCCCAGTCCACAGTGCAATGAGTATATTCACAGACATACATTCCCATGAATAGCTAAGTTCACCCAAGGCCAGACTTTCTACTTTCTTTGGGATTCTTCATACAGGGCAGTAGGATAGAAGAGCATGGGCCCAGGGTACTTTCTGTTACAGGTTTAGGTTTTCAGTGTTGTACTACAAGGTTGTAAGGGGATCATGCTTTGCATCTGTGCACTGGAATTACTGGCATGCAAAACCATGCAACAGTTTTCTTCCTGTGAATGCTTGGTCTGCTTTCCTTGAACATTTGATCAAAGGCACGTTAGATGCCACTGTCCTTTGGTCTGAGGCCTGGATGTTAAGACACACATCTCCACCTTGTGTGTCACATGTCAATGCTTAATTTTTCTAATCTGCCCTCCAGGTCACCACCTCAAAGACCTTATATATTACAACAGCTTCCAATGGCACCCTCTCCAGTAACTCAGAACTTCAGTAGTAGCCTTTCTGATGCAGATGACCAGGCACAGATGCTTTTCTAATAAGAATAAAATCTGAAATAAGACTCACCTGGGGCTTGCTAGACTGCTTCCAATAGTCAATATTCAGATTTTTTATTATTATTATTTCAGTATTACTAGTGGTTTTAAGCCTTTGCCCATGCATTGCCTTTTACCATTACAAACTCTACAATGCACAGCCTGGGTGAAAATGCAATTATTTGATTCTTCTCTAATCTCGTTTTTTTTTTTTCTTGCAAATTGTTTATTTTCTCTTTTGTGAATGCAAAATTTAGACTTTTAACAGAAAACTGCTTTTACATCCATAACTATTTTTAACAAATCATTTGATGTACAATATGGCCACATTTGGCCCTTTAGAGGGAAGAGCCATTGTGACTGGAAACCACCGTTGCTGACAATGTCGGTCAATGTGGACCTTACCTCTCTGCTTCCAGCCGCATCTCCTCCCTCTTTTGCCTCCTGAGTTCTCTGCGACGCTCAAAATCATCCATCGTGAGGTTGCAAGTTTAGGGAGCCCAGACAGTATCTGGATCTACGAGGAAAGAGGCGGAGTCAGGATCACCAAGGAGTCATGAGCCCCTGTATTAGCCCTTCCCATTTTTGCCCCTTCATCTTTTCTTGATTTTTAAGAAAAAAATATCATGGAATACTGATAAAGCCAGTGGTCAATTCTCATTCTTAAACTATTAAAGATAAGAAAGAGCCCAGGATTACATTTAGAAGGTAAGAAGTACTCTCGGGAGACAGAAATATTGACAGAGCGACTTCAGAACTACTGGATGGTCTCGTCCTTTGTCACTTGCTGAACCACAGACAACACTTGCATAAAAAATGAACAAAGAGAAAAGCAGGAGGGGAATGAACAAGGAAAAGCAAACTGGCAAGGAAGGAAAGATGTGGAGAGCAGGCATCATTTGCAGATTCTGAAAGTGTTAGCGTCGGGATTTGTTTTAAATGTCTGCAGAAATCATAGGAGAAAAAAGTATCTCCAGGAAGCAGCAGTTTAGAAGGCAGCTAAATTGTGATCAAGCCATCTTCGGAGCTCAAAAATCCCGGCTCTCTCCAGATGTAATCCAACCTTTTTACCCTTTCCTACCTCCTCCGAGACGGTTTTGGTTCTGGGAAGAATTTCCAGCTCTGCAAATGCCGAGCCGTCTTCCCCTGGGTATCTGCAGGATGCAGTCAAATGTTCCAGAATTCCCCCACAGCCCCCAAACCCAAAATGACTCCCAGGAAAGGGGAAGCGGGCTCCTGTCCTCGCTTTGTTTACAGAGCTGTCAGTGGTTAGTTAAACTAGCCTGGAATCTGGCATTTAAGGCCTGCTGGAAGATGGTTTCCTGTGTGAAGCAGGAGGCCTCCACTTCCTCTGGATTCCTAGGCGCTCGGGCTGCACTCAGATCACAAAAATATTTTCCAGTGCCTTCTATGTAGATGAGATGAGCTACTTGTCCTGCGCAAGAAAATTGGGGTGGGAAAACCCAGGGCCGTCACAGGATGGCAGCTTTGTTTGAAAATGAGTTCAGGAAAAAAAAAAAAAAAAAAAAAAAGAACTTTGAAAACTGTTCCTGTGGGTTGAAGACATGACCCAAAAAAAAAAAAAAAAAAAAAAAAACACCTGAAATAAATTGGCATAAAAGTTTTTTGCCCTCACCACTTGTATAGTTCATAAAACAAAAATCAAATCTCAGCTAACAAAAACAAAACCATGCGATGTTTGGATTTTTTCTCACTTTCTGCATCCTCTAAGGTATTAAACTGTTTATGGATCTCTAGAAACTTGAATTTGGGTTTTTATTGGAGGTTTTAAAATCTCAATTGTTTTGTTTTACTCTGACAAGAGTGTTCCCAATACCTTCCAGTCATGAAGGAAACATGGTTTTCTTTTCACATTTCACCAACCAGAAAGGTATTTCTCAGACCACATGTGGTGGAGCACACAAGCAATCACAGGACTTGGGAGACTGAGGCAAGAAGACTGTAAGTTCAAATCCAGTTTGGCCTAAAGAGTAGGACCCTGTCTTGGAGAGGAAAATAAAAAACCCTCTTCCTACCAAGCCCCCTACAATTTTACACATTTTCTAGTCTGAACTCCCTATAATTATTAGAATAAAAAATCAAAGTGATCGGAGGTCTCTGTGAGGCCCTCTGAAAACATCTCCTGACCAAGCGTAGGTATAGGAAGCAGCCAAGGGGACAGTGGACCCAGAACGCTGATGCAGTGAGACAGGGGGACTCTGCTTTCTTCCTTTAATACAGTCTTTGGTTGTGTAAAACCACATCTTGAAAAGCTATAGCAGCAGCAGCAGACCGGCCTGGGAGAAAGAGGCCTGCCTGTAAGCTTTGAAAGGTTTCAGTAGTGGGAGAGCCCCCTCGGAGACGGTTGGTGCCCCTGCCTACCAAATCTCAGCAGGCATCTTGGCAGTGCCAGTGCTATACTTACACCTGTGTCTTGGAAGTGTCAGAGAACAGTGAACATGGAGCCCTGGGTCCCGAGAAGACCAGAAAGAACCAGTTTGCAGGGACAGCCGTGGTTGTCAACAAGCCCACGTGGTTGCTGTGGTGCCCCGCAGTTCTTTCTCCAATTCTGCCCTCCTACACCCCACCTTGTATTACTTACCTGAATGCCAGTTTTCTTTCCTAACCATAGAAAAACTTAGGATTTGGGTATAGACTGAGTATGTGCCTGTGGGCACAGCGGGGGGCGGGGGAGAAGGGACCACAGAAGCGTGTTCTTTCATGTAACTCTGTGGACCAATGTCTTTGTGGACTGTGTTCTGTGGATATCTGGTGGAAAAATGAAAACACATCTGTGCACCGTGTGTGTGTGTGTGTGTGTGTGTGTGTGTGTGTGTGTGTGTGTGTTGTATAGTAGAGAGGTGCACTTATGAAAACGGATCTTGGCTGGTCTTAATGCAGGACACCCTCACATCACTCTACTCCTGTGTAGGAGAACCATGTCTGAGTAGAATTTTAAGTAATTCCCCCTTCTTTGGGCAGCAGCAGCACACATGTCCCCGGATAGTAATGCCTCACTTTCTCTCCTCCCCCAGCTAGTAGAGTGAAGAAATGTCCAGGCAGAGAGAGCTTAGCAACAATGAAGCTCTTGAGTGTCATGAGAGAGAAAGGCAAGCGAAAGGAGGTCTCCATGGATGTGGCAGAGATTCCTGACAAACTTTAGGGAAATCTAAATGTGGGACAGCGATTACTGTCATGCTGTTAAAAAAAAAAACCGAAAAAACAAACAAACAACCAAAAAAACTATAATGGGACTGCTTTGGTTAACAAGTGAACAGTCTTTGTCAAGACAGATATGTTCTTACCTAGGGCTGTGTTTGTCTTTCCAATACGGTTTCTCACACTGGGTTTTTAAAAGGCTGGCCTGCTCTATGATTAAGGAGTAAGTGGGTGCTGCAGGGTTCAGAAAGCATGGACACACTGTCTTTTCCTTGCCTAAAGATTCTGCGGAGCTCACAGTCCAGGTGAGAGGCAGGATGGGACCCAAGTCCTTTCCTCCACACCTCTCCAGCACCTCAGGGTCTCCTGAGCTTCCCCTTCATAAAGGGGTAGGGGTAGGATTTTTTGTGTATGCCCCACCCCCATAGCTATGGCTGGCCTGGAACTCACAGAGATCCTTCTGCCTCTGCCTGACTTAGTTTCTTCTCCATCTCCCTCCCTAGATTAGGATCTGAACTCAGGTCCTCTCACCTGTGTGGCAAGCATTATACCAACAGATCATCTCCTCAGCCCTAAGAAATCTAGTAATCTGTTTTACACTCAAAAGATCATTATTGTTTTCCTCTATGGGCATATGGCCTTACTGTGTTTATTTCCTGAAACTCTTTTAAAAGAGTGAATCTGATTCTGCTTTTGTATAGATTAAGATATGTGGCATGCACAAGCCACCTTGGACATGCGTGTGTGTTCACACATACATGCCTGCACACACGCACAAATGCACTAAAGCAGAAAAAAGCCACAAATAGGTGAGTTTCCAACCTTCAATTGTTAGGAAATGGGGCCTTTGTAGAGAGTTATGCCCTATCAGTTTCCAAAACATCTGAAATCAAATAATGGACAGGCATAGAGAAAGTCCTCAGGATGTGGGGGCCATTTCCTCAGCTGTCTTAGAATAAAACCTGCTGCTTCAGGGCCACTGAAGAGGCCAATGGCAGCCTCCCCAAGGAGCACTTGCTAGATCTATTCTATAAGGTATAGTGGGACTTTTTTTTTCTCTTTAAACTTTTGATCAATAAATTTTGTTTCTCAGAGCATAGAATAAGTAGGAAAAAAAGAGCAGAGTTTTTTTGTTTTTGTTTTTGTTTTTTGTTTTTTTTACACTCCCCCCTCTCTCTTTGCTCACACTTTTCTCCTACATTTAGGTTAAATTGTACCACTGAAGCAAGAGGAAACACACACACACACACACACACACACACACACACACACACAGACAGAGACAGAGACAGAGACAGAGACAGACAAAGAGAATGTTAAAAGTTCTAGTCTCCAATACCTCAAAATGTGTCCTTATTTGGAATAGAGTCTTTGCAGATGTAGTTAAGGTAAGGAGATTAAGACAGACCCTGTTCTAATACAAGGGTATCCTCATTGAAAAAGAAAGAAGGCGAATTTGGTACAAAGGGAAGCACACACAGAGGAAAGATGACTTGAAGACCCAGAGAGAAAGCACACCGTGAGAAGATGCAAAGTAAGGAGTGACACCAATCCTTCCTTCGTCTTCAGAGAGAATGTGGCCTTGCCTGCCACTTGACTTCCAACCTCAAACCTCCCACACTGTGGGGCTTTTGTTACAGCAGCCACAGGAAACAAACGTGTTCTGTTCTAACATCTTGCGGGACTATAGTACATGTGCTACAGTTGACACCTGATGCTAGTATATACTCAAATCCATAGAGAGCACGCTCTTCGGTTTGTGACGTGCATATTATCATATATTCACCATCACAGCATCATACAGGATAGCTTCCTTGCCACAAAAATCCCCCATGCTCTGTCTATCTCCTTCTTCCTCACACCTAACCCTGGTCTATGATCTTTTTATGCCTCTGTAACTTTGGCTTTTCCAGAATGTCACATTCTCAAATACTCACTATTTGGATGACCTCTTCAGACTGGTTTCTTTCACTAACAATAAGAATTCACATTTCTTCTGTGTCTCTTTATTTTTCTGAGACCGAGTCTCATATAGCTCAGACCCTCAGACTTACTGTGTAGCCCAACCCGGCCTGAATGGACCCCTTTGCCTTAACTCCTCAAGTGCTGGGACTACAGGCATGCACCACTGTGTTCAACTTCTTCCAAGTCTTTCCATAACTGGATAGCTCTGTTATGTTAAAAAAAAAAAGGCAATTTATGAGGTAGCCGTTATAACCATCCCCATCATATAGATTGTCAAACTATGTACTCAATCATTGTACTGTTCTTGGGCTAACCTGGTAGCTGTTTCTCATTTCAGAGAATGATTAGGAGTGCCTCTGAACAGTTCTGAGATGATGTCTGTCAGAGTCCTCC